AAAACGACAGCAACTTGTCTGTTCCCCTTTCCCCAATTCCCCAGCACTGTTCCCATCCCCCCAATTCCCCAATAAAAATCTTAAAAAAAAAAAAATTATCCAAAAGGCTAAAAGATAGTCACCCATAATGTCACAGTCATTGGGCCTATTGTTCAACTATAGCTGACTGAGTAAATATATTTTTATATATTGGTACCATGAAGTATTATGATTTTTAATGGCAGCACGTTTTGGAAGTTTTTAGCAACATAGAAAATGCTTATGAAGTGGCATTAAATGACAAAAGCAGGATGTAACGTTGTATCCCTAGAGTGAGCTCAGCTATGTTTAAAAATACATATGTGCAAGTGTAAAAAACTAAAAGTGGTTATCTCCCCGAGCATTTAGATTGCTATTTCTTTTTAAATCTTTTTTTATTTTGGACTCTTCCCCCACCCCCACCACAAATAAGCATATCAAGTTTTTATATTGAGAAAAAAAAACTCTCAATGATTAAAAACATAAAAATAACAGAAAACTCTGCTTGGTAAGTGGAGGTGGGTGGGTTCTCGGCTCTTAGAACAAGCATTGGCTCGTTCACGGTTGCCTTGGGGAAGTTGTGGCGGCTCAAGGCAAGCCAGGCTGGGTACCCACAGACATGCCCCAAGGTGGCTTTTCCTGTATAAAAAGTGGACAATGTACTCCGTTTGGTGGCATGGCACCAACACTGCATTCCCACCAATATGACAGCTCTGTGACCACAGGAATGTCCCTAACCTGAGGTTCAGCTTTCCTCATCTGTAATATGGCCACAGGGGCCCTTACCTCATAGGTCATAAAAACAACAATCACAGCAGGCCCTGTAATATGCATTACATCCACTTTCTCTAACTTCCATTTTACATATGAGGGAATTGTGGTTTAAAGGGATTAAGCAGCTCGCCCTCTGGAAGACCCTGAGTGGAGTCAGAATTCAAACTTGGGCCCCTGGCATCAGGGACTGAGCTGCCTCTGCTCTGCCAGGCCAGCTGAATGAAGGTACCTGGTCACCTGAGAAAGGCGATATCTATGTGGGCTGCTGTTTTGATGATAACAACATGGCACGGTATTTTGTTGTGAATTCCAAATGCTTTTGTGCAGATATATTTAGAACCTTTTGTGGAAGATGAGACTGAGAAAGATTGCTGATTAGATGCTGTTTTGATTTGTGAAGGGAAAAGTGCCTGCCACAGAAATCTCATTTCCTGCTGGATTTAGCCTCTTAAGAAGGGTCCGCAGGGAAGAGGTTCTATGCAGACCGGGTTTGATTGCTCACTCCCAGATTTCTAGCTCTGTGACCTAAGGCGAGTTGTCGCCCCTTTCAGAGCCTCAGTTTCCTCACCTGTAAGTGGCAACCGTAACCCCTACAGCTCATGCGGTGGTCCTGAAGGTTAAGTGGGATGATGTGGGTAAGGGTGCCATATCCCAGTTGGTAGACCACTTGGGGGTCATGAATTCTGATCTCCTTTGGCCTATTTTAACTAGCCTGGAAGAAGGACTCAATCAATGCGATTTCCCTTTATTAGTATTATTCCAGCTTCAAAGAGGTGGCCTGAGTAGGTTTGAGTCTGCCAGCTTGAGTTTCCACACACCATAAGCTTGCCCTCCGGATGAGCTGTGGTTTGCTGTCAGTTCATTGGGTGGCCCCAGCTCTCCCCAATGCCTCCCTTGGTCAGCCTGGCAGAAGTCTTCCTGAGCTGAGACACCCTTGGCTCCACTCTCTGCACTGGTTTCTCAGGAGCCAGATCATGGGGCCCCGTTCAGTGTCCTTGAAGCTTCCAACTCGCTCCCACCCATCTGCTGGGTTCAAATCCCACGAGGGCTGAGGCCCTGGTCAGAACTGTCCCAGCTCCGTCCCGCAGGGAGAGAACAGCAGAAAGCAGCAGCGCTCACTGTGGTCTCACAAGGCAGGAAGGCGGTGAGCTTACTGGCTTCCCCCAGGGGCAGACCCTGGGAGGAGAGGGACTGGACTTCCTAAGTTGTCTGAAAAGTAGCAATGGAAAGGGGGCAGAGGATGACTTCCTGTCTCCAGGAAATGCAGGTATTTGGGGGGAAAGAGGAAGATGAGGGTGATGCCTACTAGACAGGGTGACCAACCACCGAGTGTGCCCAGGACTGAAGGGGTTCCAGGGAAGCAGGGCTTTTGCGCTAAAAATCGGCAGTTTTACCCTCAATGCTTAGGGACTGCCTCTTCTGTGAAAAGAAAATTGGACCCACTCAGCTCTGGAGGGGTGGGGAGGGTGTGTGTTTCAACTCTGCCCGCTAGGCTGTAGCCCATGAACAGGTGGTCGAGAGGATTTGGGGAGTGGGTATGGGCAGAGCTGATGAGGGGAGGCCAGTCGGGGAACTCAGCATCTCAGGGGCACCTGTGCCCCCGAAAGGCTTCTTCTCCGTGCGGCACAGTGCAGTCCAGAGCTGCGGGCTGGTACAGAGCCCTCCCGGGCTGGCAGGATGGAGGCGGAGGCAGGGGCGGAGGCAGCACCAGCGCGCATGCTCAGCACTACCCCCCCCCACACCCCCCTCCAACCCCTGGCTGGGGTCTCGCAGAGGAACAGGGCTCCTACCTGTAGGCCGTTTGGGTACCCGTCGCCCTCGGAGAGCGAGTCCACCAAGTCTTCCTCGTCCAGCGTGGCCCGCTTGTAGGTCGACATCTGCAAAGCCAAGGACAGCACGGACTCCCTCAGCGCCTCCATGGCTCTCGTGCCCGAATGGGGAAGCCGCCCGGGCGCAGCCACCACCACCGCAGTGGCGGCGCCCCGCCCGGGACACCGAGACCGGCCCACCGACCAGCCCGCCGCGAGGGAGGGGGTCCCGCCTCCCCCGCCCCCTCCGCGCGTATGCAACCCTGCCTCACCCCCAGCGCCGACAGCACTACTACGGCCACACGCTCCGCATGCTGCGCCCCGCGTCGCCTGGGTCCCCAAAGCCTGGGTCCCTACCGTCCCTGCTGCCGCTGCGCACCTGGCAGATCCGGGCCGGCCGGATTGCGGCCCGCGGGCATCACGCCACCTTTGCGGGTGGGGCCTGATCGGTTCAAGTCCCCGGTTCTCTCCCTGGCCGCACCGGGAGACCCCCCAAGGCGTGAGAGACGGAAGCCTCCCTTTCCCAGAGGGAGAGGCCCCACCATGGCCAGCCCCTAACAGGCAGCAAGGGGCCTCGCAGCAACCTCGCCTAGGAAACCTTAAGCCCCCGTTCAATAATCCCCCCGTAGCAGATACCAAGCGTCAGATGTTAGGAAGGCGCCCCTTAGTTTGGCCCACAACAGTCGAGAGGTTCCTCCCACCATTGGCCCTTAGGTGCGTCAAGGGGGTCTCCTTTTGAGCCACAAAGATTAAGGAGAAAAAAAGAGGTAGAATAAAAAAGGCAAGTGTCTCCCCCTCTCGTTTTCCCCTTTCTCTAGCTCAGGGGTCTTTAAGCCCAAGTTCATGAATGAGTTCAAAAAATTCCAGAGACTTCCTCTGACCTAGAATGAATAAATAGTGTGTGTGCATTTGGGTGGCTGGAGGGGAATCCCATGCTTGCCTCCAGGCTCAAAGGTGTGACTCCCCAAAACATTAAGAACCCTGGCTTCCGCTTCGGAGCTAGTCAAAAACGAGGTAACCCTTCCCTCTCAGGAGTCAAGAGCCTCCAGCAGCCCCTCCCCGGCCCCCGAGACCTCTTAGGGGCCCTGTGACCTAGGCTGGAAAACGGGGCTCTCTCAAGATGTGGAATGCTCAGGCAGGGACTCTGGACACCCAGCACTCGCTCTTCTGCCCAAGACCCTAACTCGACAGTTCCCCAAAGAACCCTCCACTTCGAGTGAGACCTGGAATCCCCTGCAATTTATACATTTTTTTTCTCAAGTTTCCAAAGTGCACATCCATTCATTCCCATATGTGATTCTCGCAACACACATACGTGTGAAGCCACAGGCTCAGAGGGGTGAGGTGACTTTCCAGGGTCACAGCCACAGTGACAGCTCCTGGCTTCCACTCCTGCCCTCTTAACAGCCTCTCAGCAGCCGCAGTGAGCCTCGAAAAAGGAAATTCTGATCCTGTTGCTCCCTGGCTTAAAAACTCTACAGGGACAGTCCCTTTACAGTCCCCCATTGCCTCTGCCCATCCTGACCCTCATCGTGTGGCCCCTCTACCCCCCCCCCCACCTCACTCACTTAGATCCTGACTTGTGTGGCCCTCACTGTTCCTCAGATCCTATAAGTCTCCCCACCACCCAGGCCTTTATAGCACTGTTCCCTCTATCTGGAACATACTTTCCTCATCTCTGCTCTTCCCATGACTGGCCTCTGATCTCAGCTTAAATGTCACCTCTTCAAGTGTCCCGACCCCTCGCATTCTCTATTACAGCACCCCATTTTTCCCTTTATAGTATTTATTGCAGTCTGTTATCTATTTTTTGGTTTTTACATTTATCTACTTCTCCCTCCCCGACTTCCCAGAATTGTGTGCTTTATCAGGGCTGGGACCTTGTCTGGCACAGAGAATCCGCATCACCTAGCATACTGTAGATGCTCAACAGACAGTTGAAATGAATGGTGGAACAAGTAGAGGGGAAGTGACCATTACTCTGGGGCAGTACCTTGAAATCCTTGTGCATCTAACTTTGTAATGCCCAGGGATAAAGGTGTAAGCAGCACAGGTGGTGGTGGTGGGTGGGGGGAGGCAGAGAACTATGACAAGAATTTTAATTCTGGAGTCTTCTGCCTCCCTCCTGCTGGGTGGAGGAGTTCCCATCACCCACCTGGGAGAGAAAGGGCTCCCAGTCTTCTTGACGTCACACTGGGTTATAGCTGGGCTTTTTCTGAAACCAAGACACTTGGTTACACTAAGTAAAAGGTGTCAGCCACCCAAGAAAAAGACCCTTGACAAAGGAGCATCTCCCCAGCCTGGCACAGCAGGTACTGTTTCCTAGGCCCCTAGAAGTACGAGGTACTGGTAAGTTCTTTTACACCCACCAGCTCCTTTAAGATTCTTGCCCTTCTCTCCGAAGCAGGTATTACTGGCCCCTTTCACAGAGCCTGAAACTGAGGCTCAGGGAAGTAACTAGCCCAGGTGCAGTGAAGCCACGGCTCCTCGTCCTCTCATTTCAGAGGTCATCCCCGGGAAGCTCTCCTGACCTTCCCTTGACCCTAGGCAGTGTCTGGTCCCCTGCTCTGTACTCCCCCGACACAGTCCCCAACCCCAAGCTTCCTTCTAAGGAGGCACTCAGTGGACTCAGGCCCACTGAAGCCTATCTGTGGTCAGATGAGGAGAGAAACTCGCATACCTGCCAAGCAGAAATCCGCTGAGAAGGAGAGCTTTAATTTTTCAGCACACAAAAGATGAGGGGCCCTTCCTGAAACGCCTACCGCCGACCAAAGTGAAACTGAACCCAACTCAGGTGTGGGAATGGCTTAGCCGGCTCTGCTCACTAGGTGGGAGCACCGCAGCACAGTCGGCCCAGCAGGTGAGTGACATTCCAACAACAACAAGGCAGCCCTGTCTTTGTACCCGCCCACAGCCGGGGCGGGGCCTTCCATTCACTGTCTCTTTGGATCCCCACACCCAACTAGAGCCTCAGCCTCAACAGGTATCACTTCCATTTTCTAGAAGTGGAGGGGGGCGGAGGGGGAGAACCAACACCTACTGTGTTCTGCTTGACCAAATGTATCTCTCCTGACCCCACGATGCCCTGTGAGGCAGGAATCAGCACCTCCACTTTAGAAGACTGAGGATTAGGGAGGACTTGCCTCCCTTGCTCCCCCAAGTGACCTGGCTAGAGAGCTAAAAGGTGACTCCTTGCATAATGACCTCATGCTGCTGCCACCAGAGAACCCCAGCCATACAGCTAGTAAATGGCAGGGCTGGGCCTAGAACCTGGGTCCTGTCTCCTAGTCCCATGATCACTGAAGAAGGGGGCGCTGCTTCTTCAGGTGGGGACCTCACGGAGTCTGGGGGCACTGAGCTGGCAGGGTGGCCAGAGACGGGATCTCCCTAATTGCCTCATCTGCAGCTGTGAGGGCCAGCCGTGAGCTTCAAGGAAAGGGGAACAACCACTGCTTTGTGGGGAGCCCCTACCTTGATCTCATTCCTCTCCCGCCCCGCCCCACCCCACAGAGCCGTGGAGGAGAAATCTGGGCCTGCTGTTCATGAGAGAGGCTTAGCGGAGACCAAGACGGGAGGAAGCCCGGCTCAGGCTCGTCCGTCCCCCAGCTGCACGGAGAAGGTGGTGCAAGTCAGATGAGAGCGTGATGGTGCCAGCTCTGCAAACACCACCTGCAGAATTCAAAGGCCTGGGGTGAACAGAGCTGAGAAATATAAACGCTCACGTGGCTCTGACAGCGAAGGCCTCTGGCCAGTGGCACCTGGGCATGATCCTATTTGTCTCGAGTTAGTCACTCAGGTGTCTCTTGTGGTTGGTTTGCCCAAGGCAGGGGGATCTTTAAAGAATTCTGGAGCACCATCAGAGGCAGCAGCCCTGAGTGAAATTCACAGGCCTGGGACTTCTTGGCCACACCCTCCGATCTGTTTTCCTAGTTGATTTCTAAGCCTCAGCTCCTTAGGGATACAGCCCTTTGTGGCTGACAGCCCTGTTAATTCCTGCCTCTCCAGTGCCATTAATTAGCTGTTAAATCTTTATATGTTATCTAATACACACTCATGTTATATGTTAAATACTTACATTTAACAGACACAATGATATAGTAGGTTGAAGCTCTAGATGCAAACCTTAGTTCAGATCCCCACTCTGCCATTTCCCAGCTGTGTAACCTTGGGCGAGTGACTCAGCCTCTCTGTGCCCCTCAGTTGTCTCATCTATTAAATGGGGATGATAACAGTATCTCCTTCATAGAACTGTGTGATACTTAACTGAGTTAATATAAAGTGTTTAAAACAGTGCTAGGCACACAGCGAGTGTTGGCAGTTATTGTTTGTACAATTGTTTCTTACAAAGCACAGGCTCGAAAACTTTCAGTTGATCCCCACTGCCTAAAGAACAAAATCCAGGTGTGCAGCCATCACCCTGACCCCAGATCTATCTCTGTAGGTGTCAAGCATGCCACAGGAGTTCACCGAGTCCTTGATGTTTGTCAAGCTCTGTGCTGCCAGCTGAGGGGGCTGCTCTACACAGGACTCGGTCCCTACTCTCGAGGAACCTGCACCTGATATCCCCTCTCTCAAGACTGAGTGCCCTCTACCTCAGCTATTGCTTTCCATCTCTGAACTATCTCCTCCTCCATGAAGCCCTCCTCTCCTCCCCAGTCAGAAGGAATTATGTCCTTCCTGCTGGCGGGCCCCTGGTGTAGCACCTGTATAACATTCAAGCCTTCATCTAGGCATCTTTATCCCTGGGATGGAGGGGGTGGGGTGGCAAGTCACCTTATTGGCCTCCATCCCAGCATCCAGCACCCAGCACAGACCTGGTAACTGGTTAATTCGTATCCCAGATTTTCACTAGGGCATTAGGCTCTGTGACTTCCACAAAGAAATAACAATCAAGTAAAATTCAAATAGGACAACTGTGGCCAATGGGCAAGATAGTAAAAATATGGCCACCCCTCCTGAAGATGGCACCACGTGACATCTATTACTACTATTACATTATCCATTATGTTGCTCAGTGTCTTTTACATGTGAAATTTCCATGTGATTAATTTCTT